ACTAAACTAAAACTTACTGCCTCAAAAATGATGGATAAAACGTTTCGATCGAAGAGTGCGGTAATTTTTTACTTGGCGAGTATATGCGTCAAAACTCTCTCTCTCTCTCTATCTCTTTCTCTCTGCTTCTCTCTAGTTTCCTTTTTACACTCATCGGAGACGTCTATCGACTGGTACAGTCTCGTGGTATTCAGATTTCAATTAACCGTGTTTGTATTTGTTGGTAACGAAGGAAGAAAAATGTAAACTATTATAATAGCAGTCGCAATTATGTCATTAATTCAGATGATAATAGCCATTAGAACGAGCGAAGAAATCTATAAAAACACTCGATCGAGCAAGAAATCTAACGCGTGTCTAGATCTCCTGGTATTTATAAACGTTCGTTAAACCACGCTGAATGATGAGCCTTCGTTTTCATTTACATCTTAGATCGCTATAATTTACATTTACATTCTGTTTTTCGGCTCAATCCATATTCCTTGCTTCACGAATTCTCGTTTTGTTTCCTTGTATCAAAACGAATGACGATTACGTGTATTCTCGACGCGTTCTAGCCAAAGTATATCGTAAAATTAAACGAGGTAGATTCGTGATTTAATTATCTTCGTTGGAATTCGAGCTAGCGTAACTAATTGTGCTCTCTCTCTCTCTCTTTCTCTCTCTTTCTCTCGATTCTTTCGAGTCGACACTTTGCGTATGGAGCGTAATTTGCCCTGAATGAGAACAGTTAAACGATCTTTTGTAAACCGTTCTTTCTTTTCGAGTCGGTGCAAAGGAAGATTAATTTTTTGCTGGTGGAATTATAGTGATAAAAATTGGTTCTGTAAGATGAATAATTATTCTGGCGGAGAATGACAGATTTGACAGTTTCTTCGCGTTAAAAACAAAAGACCGAGACTTATCACAATGGGGTGAATGAAGAAGAAGAAGGAAAAGCGAAGAAGAAAAAAAAAGAAAAAGAGAAAAGACGATAACAGAACCTTCGAAAATGACAGGCGGAAAAATCGGTCGATTTATGAGCAAAACCTCATCATTGTCAGCGTTGCAGCGAAGGACGATCAGGAATAATACCGTCGAGGACGCCGCGAGTCCCTCGAGAGATACACCCGGCAGGATTCGCGCTTGTACTTGACATTAAAGGAAAGGAAAGACGAAGTAAGCCGGTCGTCGAAAGATTTTTTACCAAGCTCGATGGTCATTTGAAGAGAGAGAAAGAGAGAGACTCATTCGAATGCCCATTTTCAGGCTCAGTATCAAACGAATCATCGGATCGGTCGGATTCTCCATCTTTTCGACGTCGTGCAGACCTTGCAAACAATTTTCTTCCAACGAGAGTACCAAACAAGTAGGAAAATATGAAAATCGGCGAAGCTTCGGAAACTTAAAATCGCGAAGTTTGCAGATTTTCCAGATTTGAGAATAGCCGCAGAGGAAACGTTCGCAAAGTTTTGTCAATTTTGTCAATTTAAATCGTTTAACGCGAACGGTGTGTGCGTGAATTTATAAATTGTCGAGAATCGATTGGTAAACGATGCTGGAAGATGATTCCTCGATCGATGATTATTTAGATTTTTCGTCTTAGGGGATCTTACAAGGTGATCGGTTTAGACGTTAAAGTGCTGTGAAGCAGAAAGGAGGATTTTGTCGCGTCACGAGTTCATTTACTCAGACGTTCGTGATTACTTAGTTGGCTGATTGATGATTGATCAATGAATTTATCGAAGGAAACATATTTTTAAAGAACCTCCATATCGTTACGATTGTTGAAGCGAACACGTAGCGCAAGATTATGATAATAGAAAACCAGACTAATTCGAAGAAGAAATAATTCGATTGTGGTTGGAAGTTGAGCGTTGATAACATCATGATCGTCAATTCCTGTCCGATTCTAAAGTACGTGTTCCAACATTCCTCGAGGATGCTGTCGGTGAGATAATAAATTCTGCACTATGCCTAAAAAATTGTACAAAATTCCTTGTTCGGGTAGAATGTCGCAAAAACTGGCCTAAGACTTCGCTAATCGATAATATCGTCGAAAAATAAGAGAATATATCGATTAATCCTTTCAGAATGGCGTCTCGAAAACCTTTGTTTCGTAAGTTATTAATGAGAAAAAATTTGCAAAAATCAATATATAATATAACGAAGGACTACGTGAAACGTGTCTACTCGCGCATAAATTATCGCGTGCCGTGACACACGTTGTACTGGTCTGAAGTTTTAATGTAAGATTTGTACACGAGTAGAAAAGTCACGCGTCAACGACGACGGTCGATAGACCGACGACTTACATAAAACGAAGATGGGAAATTCATCGAGAGAAACCGACTTGTCCTCGTTGAAAGTACGTGGGCGAAACGGCGCCCATTATATGCCCGATGAAGAAGCAAAACGAGAAAAAGGCGTACGATCGATGTCTCGTGCATCGTTCGTCGTGTGAAATCCCGAGGTCGCGTGTACATCTGGAAAAATTCACGAGGGGAGAGATCCTAAATCGAGATCGTGGCGTCCTTCTGCGCCAGAAACCACCAAGTCACTCTCGTGGCGCGCCACTCTGGGGTTAAAAATACAGTACAATGTCTTTTATGGGTTTTTAAATGCCGGAGAATATATAGGTCTGTGGCGTGAAAGCGAAGATGTAGGAGAATAACATTGGTCCTCCAAAGTATTCGAACACTTGTCATAGAAAGAAAAGAACTTCTTCCAAATTTTCTGGTCTTTGAACGTTGTTTTCTTAAGTGACCGTAACTTGCACAACACTTTACTCTCATAACGTTGGCGCGTTTTCATATGAAATAGCGTAATCGGGTAATGTCCAATTTCTAAAATGTATTACTTGTTATTTACGCACGTATACGCTATAAACATACAAAGGGGAAGAAACTGTTTACGAATTCCTAAGAAACGACTATGGAAATGCTCACTTGCTTCTTCCCGCGAATCGTAAAAACTCGACAATCTACTTGTTGCACCGAAATTTACATTATAAACAACTTCTATCCTCTCTCGAACTCGTCGAGTCGATCCAAAGTGGAAGTCGGCCTCGCAACATTATATAACGTGCGACGCACACGCACAAATACGGAAGAATTTTTTATTTGGAAAAATTTCACAGACGAAGTCGCGTGATTTCGCAGATTAACTGAAACGTTGCTCGATCTCTAAAATAGATATAATATATTATACATATAAAATAAATATATATCTCGTAGACATAACGTCAACTCCGATCGACCTTACGTACGCGTGAACACGCGTCATCTTAAATACTTTTTCGGCTTGCATCTCGATTGCTGCCATGACCTCGGTTATCGTGTGTCGAGGTGACGCATAGCGAGATGAACATAGCGGTGTTCGTCTCCCACAACGTAAAAAATCTTGTTATGACATCGATTAATCTACTCCAGCGATCATATCTCGATATATGCTAAGAAGATCTGCATTTTAAATTGAGATAACATGAGATCGAGCAACGAAGAATAACAATTATTAGTCGAACTTGGCATTTGAACATCGCTGTATATTTACAGCTTGTAGTCTCTAATCGGATCTTTCGCGAGCGAAACCGATTGATTCCACCTTTTGTTCTGTTTTTTTTTTTTTTATTATATATAATAATATAATTTCATTACATATGATACACGCGATAAACGATTAACGTTCACTTAAGAAACAAATGACTTGATTCATTCCGAGAAAGATGTCGTAAATTTTAATAACGAAAATTCTGAGGTAACGACACAATGCCATAACTGGACAGCGAATTTTTGTGCAAATTCGCGTTTTCGAAAATATAATTTTAGAGATTGTTTCACCTATGGAACATTACAAGAAGAAATGTATTTTGGATGTTTTATATACTTTCTCGTATTACGTACATTTTGTACAATTTTGCGCTTTTAAATTTTTCTGCAAATGCATAGAAATCCGCAGTTTAGTCCACTTTTTTGTACTTTTCAATTCACGCAGATCATGTGGCTTCCGAATGACTCGATTATACCACTCGCAGTTGTTTTATAATATTTCACGTACACTTTATGTAATACTATATGTTTTATATATATATCGTGGACGAGGGGCCTAGGGGGTGTCATGCGGATTGTAAACAAGCGGTTGCTGAGGTGTGAATTATAAACAAGCGGTTAGTGAGCATGTGCGTAGCGAAGCTAAGACAAAAGACAAGGGGTTGCTAGGGGGCAATAAACGAATTAACAGCAATATGAGTTGAGAAGTCAGAGAGTGCGAATTGTGTTGTCGAGATAGTGTTGTTAGCGTTGTTAACCCTTTAACCTACAACTACGGGCATAGTCCGTATACGATGATCGGGCCAAATATAACAGGGTGGTTGGTACCTGGTGGTACAGGCGGAAAGGGGGTGATTCTACGCGAAAAAAGAAGTTGAAAATATAGAATAAAAATTTTTCGTTTGAAGCTTTGTTTTTGAGAAAATCGACTTTGAATTTTCGCTCGGTACGCGTGCGGTACGTTATAACGGATCTCACTGTAGATCGTTGTCTCGAGGGAAAAATCAAAAAAAAAATTTTTTTTATTCTATATTTTCGACTTCTTTTTTCGCGTAGAATCACCCTCTTCCCGCTTGTACCACCAGATATCAACCACCCTCTATAATAGCTTGTTTACGTTTTCGGCCCAAAATTCTCGAACGTAAATCGTAGGTTAAGGGGTTAGAAGAGAGTTGAATTTGCGTTGACAAGAATTGTTAATTAATTATTTAGTTGTTTTAATTATAATACGTTGTTGTGATTGGTTCATGTTAAATAACCATTGTTTTCTGTTTAATCAACATCTGTTTAATCCATTTATTATTAATAAACTAATCATAATAGTTTACGATACTATATATATAACATGTTATTATGTTATATATTGAGTTAGAATGTGATATATATATATATATATATATATTATTGATATTAGTCTCGTTCCAATAAAGAGACTTTTAACGTTCTGAGAAAATCCTCTCTTACTCATAAAATCGTTTTCCATTTATTTTTATTGCATCTATTTTTAATCCAGAAAAATCTTTTCCTGAAACGCGATACTATAATGGTGCCTCTTGAACGCATAGCGAGTGGTGTTGACGTTTCACGATTTTTCCTCAGATCGGTCGTGCATAACTGTTCTCCGATTCTCACGAACTCGTTTCCAGACCAACTGGTTCTTGCGGAGAGGCCTCGACCCATTCGCGTGCCGTTTTGTCAATTATCTATCGTTAACGACGACACTACGCCAACTAAAAAGTGAAGTCTAATTAATTCCAAGGCTATCGAAATCGATAAATTCATGATAACAGAGAAAAAAAATATCGATGAGTCAACAGTTCAAACAACAAGTTAGCAAAACATGTGACCAGTGTCAATAACAGGCGAACTATTATCGAGAAAAATGATTGAGTACGCTATATCGATAATTCAATACGCGACTGTTTTATCTACGAACGGTGAAGCATGAAGTTGCTTGTTTACGAGGAAAGATCGTGTTTTAATTGGACCGTAATCCTTTTCTTCTCATTGCTAACGAAAGCTTCGATATTTTTTCTTCTCTTCCTTTTTTCTTTTTTCATCCTTCTCGCAATTAAACGTCGATGATTTTTTCCGCGTGCCAGAAGATAAAAGTTGATGTCATAGGTCAAGGAAGTTTTCCTAACAAAACAGAAGTATGCGCGACGCCAAAGGACGTGTTTGTCCCACACGCACAATACGTTCGAAGCGCTTCGTTGTCCTTGATCATATTTTTTATTCTATAACAGAGAAAATCAATTCTGTAAACTGATGTAAACGAACAAGTAAAATCGTTCTCTCTTCCCTGTCGACTATATTCGATATTCGCATTGCTAGTTCGTCTCATTTTACGTTTAGAAATTTCTTCCTCAACCTTTCAGTGTCATCATTCCACGCTCGCTTCCTTTATTGACTCGTCTCGGGATATCAGATGGACATAAGAAACCTTCCTGGTAACGTCTGTATTTCAATTTATTGTATTTGCCGTTTCGAAAAACATACAGAAGAAATAATTGGCCTGAAAAATAGTTATATACTTGTATCAATAAATAAATAGAAGGAAGTAGACTGTCTACGAAACCACGTTGTCAAATAAATCTCTACGCACAGTTTCAAGAATAGACTAAAAGAATAATTCTACGTGAGTCGTGTTACTTTCGTACTACTTCTGTTACAAGTAAACAGATAGATGTAAATAAAGTAAGAAGCAAGGAATAAATTTACTCTTTCGCTCATTTTACTCTTTGTTCTGGTTTGTCTGCTATTTATTTCGAAGGAAAGAGAGGAAGAGCTGATCCTCGTAGACAGATTGCTTTCGCTCGTCTGAAAAATCAAACTAAATAAATTAATTTACGAAGTCGTATAAGAAAGAAATTGGAAGTGAATTTACAAAACCATCGATCGGTACCAATGCTGTTAATTAAATTATTATCCCTTGACGACACTTTAGAATTTGTCGATGGAATCGATGGGAAATGCACCCTGTCGCGTTTTCCCACGTCGCAAATTGGTTCAAGTGCGTTTTTCTCGAGGTTGGCTCCTTGATAGGCGACGAGAAGCGCGTTAATTGCCACGGCCTCGGCTCAATTGATGCGTATCGCGTTAAAAACAGGGTAAACCGCGTCTTGTTTGGTACCTGGCGGAAAGTGGCCCGTTATGTTTCCTCTGGTGAAAGGATTGCGATTAAACTACTCGATATCCTACCTTGCGTATCGTTTTTCTCCTTCACGTAATCGATACCAACTGAATCATCGATCAATTGTTTATTACATTACGCGAGAATATATCACTTAATATACACGTTGTTAACAATCATTGTGGAATTGCGTTAGAGAATTAAAAATATTTATTAATGATACATCAAGCAGTAGCGCGAAGCGAAACGGAAATAATAATCCGAGTAATTGGAGGAACTTCGTGTATTTGCTGCTAAGATCGTAATACCACCTTTAGTATCGTACTAATTACGTACGTAATACGAACTTTTGCTTTTTATTCACTAAAACGTAATACATGCCACATCCTTACACGTAAATTCAAGTCACCGGTAATACGTTTTTCTGCGACGCTTTTTTCTCTGTACGTCGCACACGCAATCACGTAATAAAATAACACTGTGAAATCGGTTTTAGAATTAATTACAATTAAGCTTATTGCGATAAACAAGATGAAATTCTACGAATGCTAAATTGACGTAGAAACGGACGCATCTTTTTTATCGCATGTTACTGCGTAGTAACCTTTGGCTAATCAGACGTTATGTTATTTTCACTAATGCGTGTTATAAGCACGTTTACTATCATCTTATCGCTTTACAAAATTACTGTGTCAAATCGGTACGCGTTTATCGAAATTGCTCTGATATATTGTCAAGGGGTTAATTTTTATCTGAGTATCTAGTATAATTTTATCTCTATCTAAATATGTAATCTTCGATTCTACATGTGAATCAAATGATTAAGCGATGAAAAATGTACAAATTTCAAGGGGATATGATTGTCGTTATAGGGAAATACTTTACAAATATTTCCACTTGAATAACCTTTCAATGCTTTATCGTTGAACCCTTGAATTCTCGAATCTTTCAATTCTTGAACCATTGAATAATTGAATTATTAAAACTTTGAATACTTGAATCCTTGAACCTTTGAGTCCTCGAAATTCTTGAACATTTGAACCCTCGAATTCTTGAACCTTTAAACCATTAAATATATTAACCATGGACCATTAAATACGTGAATTATTTGTTGAACCTTCGGATTATTGAATCTTCGAATTCTTGAGTTCTCAAACTCTGCTGGAGTCCTTGAATTCTTAAATCCTTATATGCTTGAATTAGTTTAATCTATGCGTGTCTCCAAGATATTTTTTTTTCCTTATAAACTTCGTACAACTCCAGTCTTCTATATTCTTCTCCAAAAAGAAAAACGTAGAAATGTTCGCTGAAAAATAATCTCAGACAGGAAAATTGCTTTGTCATATTGTCACGTAAAAATTCTACAAGGTATGCCGATAGGAAAATACCCGTTAATCTACCCATCAACTGCAGGTTCCAGTTTGTCCACAAATGAGTTATGTAAATTCCATAATATTAATGGATGAGATGCAAAGCTCTGACAGAGCAACAACGCTGGTGTAATCCTGCGAGACGATTGCGCGAAATTGTTATCGTCCAAGGCAGGTGCGCAAATGTGATTCAACGCGTACGCATCTGGATTAACGAATAGAGCGATAATAACACGTGACACATCGTAATCGAGTCTTCTTTTTTTTTCTAGTAACAACTTTGCAAATTTGTCACGTTCGATTGCACTTTTAGCATTAGAAGGAGCAGCCAGGTATTATTGTTCCATGAACAAATCAATAAAAGATTGTTTTCTCTATCAACTGTTTTTTTTTTTTTTTTTTTAGTTGTGTTTAAAATAGTAATGATTCTTCTTCAGCTATCAGTTTCTAAGATATTAAAAAAGGAGCTGTCTGGAATTGTTAAAAACCTTTTAAAAGTCCGACGAATTTTTTCTATGTCTAGTTTAAACTTAAGAAACGAGCGCTTTAAACAATTGCAAGAACGTAATTTTTTTTACCATAAAATCCGCCTGAAAGAAATTCAAGCCTGCCGTTAAACAATCAGAATTTTTCCATGTGAAGGATTGTATAAAACAAAAACAAACTAGAAAATATAGTATGCTGTCCCATCGATGTTCAGTCAATTCGTTCCTAAAAGTATAAATATTTCTCGTAGACAAATTATTTTGTCCACGACATTTTTTAGCGGATTATCTGCATAAACTTGCAGTGTTTCACGCTGTCTTCCACTCTCTAATCAAACAAACCAGAAAAAACTGCAATTTTTCGCCTGAATCCGTTCTCATTTACTCCCATCGGCGATATTAGCGAAGAGGATGGTTGCATAATCTTTTGTTGATTATTCTGTGAAGAAAGGTCAAGGCTTTGCGATGAGACGAGCACGGTTAGAGATGGTCGTTTTAATACGCCAGATCTACGAAAGATAAGCAGAAATCCCTCTCCGTATAAATATTCATAACTCTATACACAACTATCTTCGTACTCTTTACCCAGCCAAGGAACACGACGACTCTATCAACATTGCGAAACAACAGTTACAACATGTCACACTTGTGAATGCGTAGTGATTATATGTTTCTTAGATGTACTAGATTTAGAATTTAGGTTTAGATGACCAATGTTCACACGATATGACACCTGTTCCCTTAGTTGTAACCACCACAGCAATGTTCTTTCTTTCGATATGTCACATTTTTTCAATCCTTTCCAGATCGCTGAGTATGTCGTTAACCCTTTCGCTCTCGATTTTTCTTTATACAGAATTTTGTAAATGATTAATTTACCAAATGATAAATGTATTCGTTTTCAGCAAAACTGCTGGAAAATGTTAGCACGATTAACTATGCGATAAAAGATGATTCTATTAATAGTAATAATAGCAATAGTTATAGTAATAATTATTAACAGAATTAATTAAAAGGTAGTTTTTCTTAGAAACAAACAAACTGTGAAAGATCTCGACCTCAGAGGGTCAAAGTCTAATTAATCGCGAGCTACTTTACGTCTTGCGGCAAGGTCTTTGCTCTTGTGATCTTTCATCTGTTTCGTAAGTGCAATAAAGAGCTTGCAAACGAATGCTAATATAGTGGCGGACTGTTGACTTAATAGCGAGTTAAGTCACCGTTAGGAATCTCGAGTGTTTCAATTGCTTTGAGATATTAAATTCTCCGCACTTTAGTACACATTCTTTTTTTCTTCGAATAATTTCGTTTAAAAAGAAATTCTTCTCTCCATCGTCGTTTAATAAATGTTGGATCGTCTTTACCACAACTGTCGAATATCTAGCTTTTATTTTGTAAAATACAGCTGCGAAATGTAGCACAAAAATGTACATATAGAATATTGTCTTGCGACAGAATTGACTCAACTTCCACCGTCCCAGAGTTGCACATTTTCTAGCGAATAGTAGAAGCTTTTTGGCGCAAACTTTCTAATTTCCTAAAAGAAACTTCGATAATATATCTATGAAGACAGTTAGCATCGCGGTGACCATTAATTGCCATACCGTTAGAAGCTTTCGTGTATAAAAATAAGAACGAAAATTTTCCTCGTTCCATCAAACGTGTTCCATAAAACACTCTACGTTCGACCGAAAAGAAAATTTCTTTCAGAAAGCATGTTCGTTTCAAAGATCACGTAACGATGATCCTATACCAAAGTTCACCCATTTATCTAGGAAATTCCAATAAGAAATTGCACGATTGTAAATTCGAAAACGGCGAACTCAGCGATCGATCTCGCAGATCCTGCTTCCCAAAAACAAATTTCCTGGACCGAATTGATCTTTCGAATTACTAAAATTTGAATCTAATCTTCCAGGTACTGTCTATGAGCGAGGAACTCAGGCGAGCTCTGTACACGAACAGCGCCGTCTCCATAGACAACGATGTCATCGTTCCCGACCTGGTTGGCACCACCGAGATCCTCAGCGACGAGCACAGAGAACAACTGTGCCGGCATTTGCCTGCCAGGGCGGAGGGCTACCTCTGGACCCTCGTTTTCAGTACCAGTCAACATGGATTTAGTCTAAACAGTATGTACAGGAAGATGGCCAAAATAGAGAGCCCAATTCTCTTGGTGATAGAAGATACAGAGGGCAACGTAAGTTCTAGAAGTTTACTTTGAATTTCACTCCCAGTTTCTACGCTCCCCTTTATTCCATATTTTTATCCTATTTTCTTTGTACCTTGCATTAGTATACCGCGTTAATTCTTTGAGTGTTCAGCATACATTATATGCAAGCAACGTGTAGTATTGCTTTACGCAGTAAGATATTACCAATGCATATACGTAGAATATAAATGAGAATTAACAATATAGTAATTCACGCAATAAGTTAATAACAAACTGTCATTTGTTGCAGAAGCAATATCTACCTGTTTGTGGAATTGACAAATTACGTTTCAAAATCTCAGTTGCTTGCTTGAAAATTCCGTAGTACATTAAAATTACATTAATTAAATGCTACTAAATATTTGGTTATTTTAGTAAACGCTCGGAGGTAAAAGAAGAAAGCCAGGAGCTATATTTCTTTTATCTTGTTAATGTCGTTAATGTCACATTATGACCAAACTGTACTGGTTGACAGAGTCTAGAAACTAAAGTGACAAATTATATACAGTCGCTTATAACTTTCGTTGCTTGCACGTACTCTCGTTAAGATGGCTAGAGCGTGACCGTGTCACGTGCAGAATCCGCTGCGAGAAACCTCGAGGCAGAGGATTCATTACTCATTGCACGTTATTAGTGCCACAGCCGGCGTACTGTGAATCATCCTTTCCACGTGTTACAGGTGTTTGGAGCGTTGACCTCGTGCTCTCTGCACGTGAGTGATCATTTCTATGGAACCGGCGAATCTCTTCTCTTCAAGTTCACGCCCAGATTCCAGGCGTTCCACTGGACTGGGGACAACCTCTATTTCATCAAAGGCAACAACGAAAGCCTTGCCATCGGTGCCGGAGAGTGGGTATCATTTTCTAAGTGTCCTCGATATTTTATTGAACGAATTTTTACTCGGTCGAAACGTTAATACCGGATCGAATATGTTAATTCTGTTAGACAAATGTTTTAGCGAGGGATCACTGGAAAGAGATTAATTAGAGAGGATTATATGTTACTTATGCTAGGGTAGATTAATCTGTTATGAAACGGTGGTTTGGAAGATTGCATATGAAGGATCAATGCCTTGTTATACAAGTTACATTTAGTTATCGATATGGGTTTTTGATTAGCAAAGAATATTTCAGGGAGGGGAACAGATAAAGTTTTCAAAGCTTCGTTATGTACTGTTACCTTAGTCTCTCCGTTGTATTCGTTCGTCCTACTTTTTAAATTTATCTTGGAATTTGCTATAACTTGTGCTATCTTCTTGTAACAATGAGCACGTGGGAATGAGTAACTTGTTTCTTGAAAATTAAACATCGATCGTGTATTTACCTATTGAGATTAGAAACTGATCAAAAATGGAGTTGATCAACTGAGTTTCTAAGTAGACTGATATAATTGAGTGAACCAGAGAAGCACTCCTCATATACAATCTATTTATATTATTCATATCATAATGTTTCTATAATATCGTTTAATTCTTTTCCATTGAAGTTCCATCAAATTAACAAATATCATTCGCTGTTTTGCAGTGGCAAGTTTGGATTGTGGCTAGACGGAGACCTATACCAAGGCAGGTCACAATCTTGTAGCACGTATGGAAACGAACCGCTGGCACCGCGAGAAGATTTCGTGGTGAAAACGCTGGAATGTTGGGCATTCATATAGGACACAGCCTCGTACTCCGTGTTCGCGACTTCGCCCTCACCGCAGCCTAATTTGACTTGAATTCCGAGAAAGTCTCGCGTGGAGGTTGATCGTCCCCAGAGAAAAATTATCGCACGGAGGACAATTATCAAGATTTCCAAGAGACATTTTTCCAGAGGAGATTAAAGTCGATTAACGGGATTATCGGTTAGCTCGATTACCGTCGATAGATTTTTAAACAGAGAGACCCCAGACGTATTTTGTTAAAAGTCAATAGGAGATTTTTCGAGTGAAAGAGAGAGAGAGAGAGAGAGAGAGAGAGATGAAAGAATTGTAATTTTTAATGAATGGAAGGTAGAAACGTTGATGAAGAAAAGGAAGCTGCAGGAAAGAATGATGATGATGACAATGATGAAGAGGTATGAGAAAAAATGTGAAGAACAAGTCCTAATATATTAAGGCAGAAACGTTGAATTAAGAACTGCGAATGACTATAACTGATAAATTTGTCGTTTTAATCGTCCTACGTTTGTTTTTCTTTTTGTTTTAAGTTGTCGTATTTATTTTATTTTTTTTATATATATACATACACGCACGCATACATGTGTTTCGTTGAATGAATCGTCGTTGCTGTCGTTAATAATTCTGATTTCACGCGATCGCATGCCGTTTGAGTAAAGGATCGAAGGATCGACCACGATGACAATGAATTTGTTATAACGATGATGATGATTATGATCGTGGTGTTACCTTCGAACTAGTCGCGAGTATAATAATAATATTAATTGATAATAATAATGCGTTGTTCCGAGAGATTATGCGATCGCCGATGTGTTTTACGGTGATCGACGATAGCGAGTAAGAGAAGAGAAAATGAGATGAAAGTGTGAATGATAATCGAGATTGAAAGGGAAAACA